AGGGTCACAGCACCTCATAGTCATTTTTACCTCTGCTGTGTGCCCTTGTAGATGAGACTGCCCTTAGGTGAGGCTTGGCAAACGAGTCTGTCAAGGAAGGGAGGTCAAGAGAAGCAGTTTTCTGTACTGGATCAGGTGTTGGGAAGAGCAGGGGGTGTAGTAAAGGGCAAGATTAGCAGTGTAAGATTGGTTTGGACAAAATTGCTCAAGAGTCCTGGGTGCTCGTGCCCTTGCCCTCCCAAAAGAAAAACAAAGAACCAAACAAACCAGGTGGGGAAAAAAGCTGAAAAAAATAACCTAAAGGGCCCATGAAATAGGCTTCTTGATGTGAGCAATGGCAGCCAAGTTAGTGGCTTACTGGATTCTTGGCTGGGCATCTTTCAGAGGTGCCTGTAATTCAAAGTACTCCAGCCTTCTTGATCTTTTTTCTAGTCTTTGCTTTTTGATAGCAACCCCGCCTCCCTGGGACCTCCTCTCCCATAGTAGTCTGGTCCTCATTTTCATTTTTCTTCTCCTTTCTTGGAATAAGCAGATGGATCTCAAACTAAAGAGGTTCCAAGTGCTCCCACAGAAAATATCTTATATGCAGGTACTATGTAATGGCATACAAGATTTTTTTTGTTGTTGTTCTGTGTTTGTTTATTTGTCAGCCTTACAGCAAGAACTGAAAATGGGTATCCTTTTCCTCCTGCTTCCTGTTCTATGGCTGGGGGGGGGGGTCTTCGCAGGCAGCTTTGCACAGCTCAGACTGCAGTATGGTTTTATTCTTTCCTAGTCAGCCTGGCTGTGGAGCCCAAGGATCTTGCGCTTGCTTTAACAGTCAGATATACACTGACTCTTCTATACCATTATGTTGTTTTTCCTGATGTTCCAGTGCTATAGAGGATGTCTAGCTGATGCTTATATGAAAGTTTTAAGCCCCCCTCGTCTTTCTGCCCCATCCTGTAGTCTCAGCAAAAATATGGTAAGGCAATGGTCAGAGAAGAGAAATCATATGGAGAGCATAGAGTGGAAGGCATACCCATGGGTGATGCAGGTTGGCAGGGCTTGCAAAACCAAGGGTGAATCTGCTGGTGTTCCTTGCTCAGTGAAGGTCTGAGTAGAAGTGCTTCAGTGCTCCCCCTGCACTGAAATGGTAGCTGGTTGCAAGTCAGTCAGCTGTTTGCTCCCACAGCCCGTGGGCAGCCTGCAGAGCAACAGGCCACCTGTGAGGCTGCAGCAGCTGGAATGGCCGTGCTTTCCTTTCAGTAGCAAGCAAATTTTGCTTTCTCTTACTTGAAACCCCTCCCCATAAGTCAGCAATCTTTTTTTTTTTTTTGGGGGGGGGGAGCAATTTTGCTTTTGGAGACCAATTTAACTAGAAGTCTCTTGCTACATTTCATCTCCTTATTTTTGAAGACATGATCTTCTGGTCAAGTGTTTGATTCAGAGAGAAAGATAACATTTACAGCTACTTGAAATATTTTACTGTAGGTTGTCTTCTGAAAAATAATAATGGCATAATAATAAACAGCTGTTTAATTTTCCCCCTCACATCGACTAATTTTTAATCTATACACCCCTTAAAATCACTTGTGTAGACCTTCTGTGAGGACTGTACGGTGCTCAAGTACCAGCAATGTTTTATAAGGGCTCGGCAAGACCCGAGTCCTAACAGAAGCAGGAGATGGGCAGCTGCCATGGTCCCTGTTTTGTAGATGGGGGACGCAAGGCACAGAGAAACTAAACTCACATCCTCAGAGTAGCTGAGGTCTGGCTTTTAACGTGGCACATAGGCACCTCTGTCGTGCCTTACCCTACTTGCTCACAACTGTGCAGGGAAGGTGCGGCAACAGGGAAATTGAAAATGGGTCCTTCTTTGTCCCAGATGGAGACCTTAATCCCTGAGCCGTTCCTCTTTTGTTTCCATAGAGACATTTCTTCCTTTTGTCTCAAGTACTAATGGAGGGGGAGGGGTTTAGAAATGTTTTATTTTACTGCCTTTCAAAGAAACACAGTGTACCCTAGTAAGAATATAACAGCTCTTGTGTAAGTGAGGAGATGTATCAACAAGAGATGCTCCTATTGGTATTGTAAGTTTGCTACTCTGTCAAAGATTCCTCAGGTCCTTTGCAAATTAAATATTCCAGAGGAGTCCTGGGACTCCTGTGGGAAGGGGCAGCCGTTAGCAATCTGCAGGACATGTGCGCAGGCAAAGGCTGTGTCCAACTGAATTGGCAGGAGGAGTTTAGGTGGGCAGAGAGTCAGTCCTAAACCTGGAATTGCTCCAGGAAACTTTAAAATCCAAAGTGCAGACAGCTCTTGTGGGAGATAGCATGTTGCTGCTTGGCACTTCAAAAGACCTGTAAACCAGCAGCAGCATTAAGAGAAGGTTCAGGGGGGGGGGGGGGGAGCAATTTTGCTTTTGGAGACCAATTTAACTAGAAGTCTCTTGCTACATTTCATCTCCTTATTTTTGAAGACATGATCTTCTGGTCAAGTGTTTGATTCAGAGAGAAAGATAACATTTACAGCTACTTGAAATATTTTACTGTAGGTTGTCTTCTGAAAAATAATAATGGCATAATAATAAACAGCTGTTTAATTTTCCCCCTCACATCGACTAATTTTTAATCTATACACCCCTTAAAATCACTTGTGTAGACCTTCTGTGAGGACTGTACGGTGCTCAAGTACCAGCAATGTTTTATAAGGGCTCGGCAAGACCCGAGTCCTAACAGAAGCAGGAGATGGGCAGCTGCCATGGTCCCTGTTTTGTAGATGGGGGACGCAAGGCACAGAGAAACTAAACTCACATCCTCAGAGTAGCTGAGGTCTGGCTTTTAACGTGGCACATAGGCACCTCTGTCGTGCCTTACCCTACTTGCTCACAACTGTGCAGGGAAGGTGCGGCAACAGGGAAATTGAAAATGGGTCCTTCTTTGTCCCAGATGGAGACCTTAATCCCTGAGCCGTTCCTCTTTTGTTTCCATAGAGACATTTCTTCCTTTTGTCTCAAGTACTAATGGAGGGGGAGGGGTTTAGAAATGTTTTATTTTACTGCCTTTCAAAGAAACACAGTGTACCCTAGTAAGAATATAACAGCTCTTGTGTAAGTGAGGAGATGTATCAACAAGAGATGCTCCTATTGGTATTGTAAGTTTGCTACTCTGTCAAAGATTCCTCAGGTCCTTTGCAAATTAAATATTCCAGAGGAGTCCTGGGACTCCTGTGGGAAGGGGCAGCCGTTAGCAATCTGCAGGACATGTGCGCAGGCAAAGGCTGTGTCCAACTGAATTGGCAGGAGGAGTTTAGGTGGGCAGAGAGTCAGTCCTAAACCTGGAATTGCTCCAGGAAACTTTAAAATCCAAAGTGCAGACAGCTCTTGTGGGAGATAGCATGTTGCTGCTTGGCACTTCAAAAGACCTGTAAACCAGCAGCAGCATTAAGAGAAGGTTCATGCTTTTCCTGCTTTATCCTAATGCTGTTCAAGCAGACCCTTCAAAGAGCAATTTAATTTAAAGTTTGATTTTATTTATTTATTTTTAACCTATTGAGAAAGGTTGCCATTCTGAAACTGGAACGGAGTCCTTTATTACCAGGTACATAGTTCCACATTAACCAATTTTTTCAGGTGCTTAATGCGTTGTTTTGGGGTTTTTTTTGTCCTATATTCTTCTGGGAGTGATATTTTTCTGAAAATGTTTGTCATTGCTTCACTGACCTGCCTTCCCCTGCAAATTTTTTGGGAGATAGTATAAAACATGTTCTTTTCTTGTTGAAATCAATGAAAAATATTTTTGTTCCTGAAAACAACTGCGGGCAGGAATACAGCAAAGTGGGGAAGAACCTTTGTTGTTGTCTGGAAAATAGTGGGTTTGTTCTGATGAAGATACAGCCAGTGGGAAATTCTGCTGGGTGTCTGCGAAAGGGTTGGCCCTGAAATATCTCAGCAGAATCATAATGCATATAACTGAGGAAGGTTGTGCTGTTTTTTAATTTGCTTTGACTTTGTATATAGAAGCGGGTCTAGGGTTTGCATGACACAAACTAAGCTGCATCTGAATGTGTTCTAAAAACAGTTTTGCTTCTTGCATGTTTTCCCACGATAAATTCACAGAATTGCAGAAGGGTTGAGGTTGGAAGGGACCTCTGGAGGTCATCTGGTCCAACCACCCTGTTCAAGCAGGGCCACCTAGAGCTGGTTGTCCAGGAATTATGTCTTTAGTTTCAGAGAAAAGAGAGAGAATATGCTGCTGTACAAATAGAAAAGACATTTGGCTTTTCTTACTTTCCTGCCTTCCATCAAGTGAGCAGGTTTGGGTGCAGAGGCAAGGTGCTGGCCGTGTCCTGATGCCAGTTTGTGGGTGGAGCGCCTAGAAATCAAGAATGGTGCTCTTGGCCAGATTGAAAAGATGCATCTAATACTAATTTGTCTGAAAAACAAATAAGAAATGTAGCAGCTAATTAAGATAAAGTCATTCTATTTAAGACCAGGATGAAACTGAGGCAGTGCCAGAGTGAAGGAGGACTCAATTTTGCCTCATTGCATGAAAAACAGATCTATCTTTGTGCTTTCAAGACCCATTTAGGGTACATGAGCAGATTTGTGAAAGTGTAAGCAACTTCTTGTTTGACCTTGCATTTTCTTTTCATCTTTTACTATACCTAGCTTTAAAATATTTCTGTTAAGATTAAAATGTGGAGTCATCACTTGGTACTTCTCTAATACGGATTTCTAGAGAGTCATTGTGGTGGGTTGACCTTGGCCAGATGCCCACCCAGCTGCTCTCTTGCTCCCTGTCCTCAACAAGAGGGAGGGGAAGTAAGATGAAAAAAACTTGTTGATTGAGATAAAAATAGGGAGATCGTTTACCAATTGCTGTCGTAGGCAAAACAGACTTGACTTGTGGAAAATTAATTTATTGCCAATTAAAATAGAGTTGGATGATGAGAAACAAAGACATAACTTGTAATACCTTCTCTCACCACACCCATCCACCCCAGAGCTCTTTTTTTAGGAGGGGCAAGAAACACAGTATAATTCTGAGGACCCAGCTGTCAGTGAGAGTCCATGCCTGCATTGGTAAGTGAAGTTCCACATGCCTGAAAGAGAACAAATAAACAGAATCCATCTCTGAGAAGCAAATCTGGGGTGTATGAATCAGGCTTGCTGTGTTCCAAGTTAAGGAGAATGGCCAAGAAATTGATTTCTTTGTTGTGTGCTAAAATCAGGTTATATTAGTTATATTACCCTTAAAGTGTGTTAAACAGCCCAGGGAAGTATAGGATTTGACAGTAAAGTGTGATGGTTGGGGGTGCTTTGGAGAATCTTGGATTATCTGTCTTGCCACAGCCTTTGTGTGAGCCTGAAGACGACTGTGTTCTGAATTGGGAAGGGGATCTGGAGAATTGTTGGCTGACAGCTAACTACTGCATTTTAATAGCATGTAATGTTTATTACTTCATCCTGCAAATCTTGGCCACATATTTGTCATTATCACAGTGTCAGTGTCTTAAAAACCCCAGTTAAAACAATGCTGTCACGAGGAAAAGTCTAATGAAAGTCATAATGTGTGTGTCATAAGAGCTTTAAGGTTGCATAAATGGAGGCTGATGTGCTTGATGGTGTTGATATATTCTCCAGCGTTCTGCAGAGCAGTATGTTTCTCTGAGTGTTAGCGGCAAAGCTAATGCTCATGTTCTGGTGATATTATGATAGATGTTATGGGTGGCTGGTTTAAAAAAAATAAAAAATAATCCTGTATGTATGTGCCACAGTTGCCTGTTTTGTTTTCAACTTCTCCATAACAGATTCAACACCCTAATATGTTTAGCTTGTAGTTGGTCTTGTTTCAAGAGATCATAGCTGAAGCAATGGAATATAGATACTTTCCTTAAAAGGAGGAGAAAGTTTAAGTTCTGTATTATTTCCACAATGCTACTGCTGTCAGAGGATTCAGGCTTTAAATACAACTAAACGTCTTTCCCCTGCCCCCAGGACGTGTTATGAAACGGCCTTTCTGGGAATTTGAACTGAGCATAAGCAACCTACAGAATTCCTCGAATACCTCCTATTGAGAGCAATCTCTAGGCTGCCTCATGCAGGAACAGATTCTCCTCTACTACTGTTGGCTTGAGGAAGTACAGTAGAGCAAGCCTACGTGTTAAGTATTAGAGGAGAAACAGAGATGCTGCAAAGCCTAGGCTGATTTTATAAATGTGAATGAAATTAAGAACAGCTTGGAGAATCCTGTTAGGTCTGGGAATATCTTTGGCAAAACAGACCAGTGCAGCAAGAGAAGATTTCATGTGTTTCCTGGATTGAGGTTTTATAAAAACAATTTTCATGTACAAATTTTTGTTCAGAGCGCAGCCATCAAGGAATTGGAGCACACCAGGTTCTGAGCTTCCATGTGTGGTTGCTTTGTTGTTATATGTTTGCATTCAAGCTCACTGTGGGCAATTAGGTGTATTACTGTGCATGTATTTTAATCGTTCCTGTATGAAAGTGAGTTCCTTTGTCAGGTGCTGTTACTCTCTGGCAGCGGTGACGCATTCAGCGGTGAGCACAGCGGAAGCCAGGCTGCAAAACTTGAGTCTGGATTTCGAACTCTTAGAGCAGAGGTGTGTTTGGATATGGGCTTTTGGCTTGGTTCATTATAGGCAGAAAAGCCAAACGCAAGATCTGGTTCTAATTTCCAACCCCCTTGCTGAAGTTTAGATTTTTAGGGTAAGTTTTTGTTTCAGCCCATAGCTTGATGCAGTATAGTTTCTTCTCTCTATTCTTTTTCATTTCTGCATATCGAATGTGTCTTATTTTTTGGTATTGGCTAGTTTGAAAGAGTCGGGGACACTCTGTGGTTCTTCGTACTGGCCTTGTTTGGTGACTTGGGCCTGGCAGTTAAACTTGTCACAGAACAGGAGGGTTGTTTCACTGGCACAGTGGGTACTTTTCTTCATCTTGTGCGTACTTTCACATCAGCTGCCTGTTAACATCTTTTTTGAAATATAAGCATTAGGTTTAGAGGTTAAAAGATGCATTACATATTTGGAGTAAAAGCTAGGAGCTAGAGCAATCTGAGATGGCGTTACGTGGAATAAAACCGTCTTGCTTTGGCTATTTTCTTTCAGTCTTGCAATATCCTTGGAAAGCATTGTGGTTAGCTATGTTACTGACTCTGCAAAGTCCCCAGTAGGTAGCTAGGACTGCTTTCTGAGAAGATGTTTTCTTCTGTAGTGCTCTTGCCATAGAGCCTCCTGTCATCCTTGCATTCCAGGTTTTACTTTGCTCTGAAGAGCTGAGAGGTGCAACAAAATAGCTTTCCTGTCATAAACTCTCCCATTTGGAAGTTGGACCGCTATTTTTTTTTTCTTCTCCCTAACATGTTGTACTTTTAAATTGTGGGAAATACACAAGTGTTTATGTTCAGATGTCCAGATAAAGTTTTCCATCATTAGTGACTTCAAATCTCTGGGGAATTCATTGGGCTTTACTATCAGAGGATGTATTGACTACAGGCCAGTATTTTATGAGACTTGGGAAGCTTTAGCAAGTACCCATGTCAAGTGGGGTGGGTTGGTTTTTTTTTGTTTTAAGCAGGGCAGGGAAGGAATAAGGCTTAATAACTTGAGTGCGGAAGTTGTTAGTGAGTGGTATTTTCTGCCCTATTGCATACCAGTCACTCTTAAGCATTTCACGCAATTTAATGCATTAATACTTTTTTTTCCTCTCGGGTTCTTGTCTTATTGTTCACACTAAGGACTTTCAGCATGGAAGAACAAATTTTCTTTTAAATATCACTCTACTTCTTTTCCCATTTTTGGCTTGTCCTGATTAAATTGTAAGGACTAATTAAAAGGTAATTTCAAAAATAAAATTTAAGTGGTTTTAATGCAAACGGCAATATTTACAATTTTTTAATATCAAAAATCTATTGCTGAAACCAGTTTTGTTCATAGAACATAACTAATTGAAAATTATAGATGTACTTTTGTACTTGTTGATGTTAAAAGACCTTAGTGGAGGAAGATCAATCCTTAAATCACATAGTGTCAGGTATTTTTTTTTCCACAATCTGTCAAATTTGACCTTTTATTCAAATGAGATTTATTGCGAGTTAATACCCTGTGGGAAAAGTTTTTCTGGTATTTTTGGCAGCTGTATGACTTTCCTCATTTGTATTTAGTTGTGTCTTAATGTAACTTTAATTTGTATGTGTTTAACAATTACAGAGCTCAGCTGAAGCCTTGGTAAAGTTCAACGTAAATGAGGATGTAGCTTTACAGGGCGAACACCAACAGTGCCAAAAGCTTTAGCCCCTGAAACTAAGTGGAAGGTTTTAGTCACAGCAACTCTTTGACAGTGAAGTTTTAAAGATCTTTAAAAGCTCCACTCTTCCTGGAGAGTCACTTGGTTTATTCATTATGTCTTTGCTTGGACAGCTCTGTTTGATGCTGCTGCTTCATTTGTCTGTTCATTGCTTCTTGGTAGTTTTCTCTCAAAATCTGAGGTTGTCTCTCAGAGAAAAGGCACCGTTTATTCTTACATATCTGGATGCAGTATCTAGCCCAAGAGAGTCCCATGTCCTATTTTAAAACGCTTGTGCCTGTGATGGGGAATCAGGAGTGTTGCTCTCAATACTGAGTATGAGGTTTGGACAGGGAACCATGACAATGACTTAGAATGATTCTGCCAAAAGAAGTTTGATATAAGCTTCAGGTGTTAATACAATGTAATTCAAGAAGAATGTAAATGACAAAGGTTGATGTAATTCTGAATACATGTATTGGCCTGGGATTGCTCGGAGTACTGTAGCTTGGAAGGTCAGCAAATGCTGCAAGGTGTATTTTAAATTTTATTTCTTCTTTGTGTCAGTTTATTATTAAAAAAACCAAAACCAACAAAACCCACACACCCAACCCCTCCCCCAACCCTCAATTGGTTATTTAAAATGTTTTTGCATTATAAAATTACGTTTTTGTATGGTTATAGCTCCTTCCTGTATTTATGTAAAGTCTTTCTTTCATCTGTCTATAGATTAAAAATAATTTGCATAGATATTTGTGTGTTATGTTTCATAGCTTGATCCAGCAAGGTCCCTAAACACTGTGCAAGTATATTATTGCAAGAGTCTTGCTAAATGTATAATGTAGCTTCATTATTAGTCGTTATAACCATTTTATAATCCCATTCTATTGGCTTTTGCATGTGGGCAGTTGCAGATTTACCAGAGCAGGGTGCTGAAGTGATGTACAGCGTGCCCACCCTTCCACGCGTGGTTCAGCAGTGGACTGTTCCCAAGTATGTGACACAATAGCTGCCATGCCGCACGGCGGCTGTTTCTAGCCCCTGTTATTGGGGCATCTGCTTTAACCAGCACTGTTAGCACCAATAACCCAGCCTTTCCGCGCAGCTCTTTGGATTGTCTTTTTGACATCCTCTCACTCTTGATATCTTTTATGAAATGTAGCCATAAATATCATCTTGAGCTCCTTTTGTTCTGGGATACCTGAGGGAGGCTGTAAGCTAGTTGTAACTAGGACGCTAGTAGAAGCCAGCTGTTTTTATTTGCCCTGTAATGGCTGAAGTATGCAGCTAGTCCTTTTTTCCACGTATAGTTTTCCTTTCTGTTATCCATTATGTGGACTTGTTGCATGTATTACAGCATATATGTTTAGGTTCTGCAACTATTTATGCATCTATTGAACCTTCTGGTGGGACCTGTCCCTCCAGGTGCTTGAGATGCAAGTTCCTCCCCAGTGGAACCACAGTGCTTTCACAAAGACAAAGTCATGTCTTGAGTCTATAACTATCTGGCACCTTGTTGCAGAGAAGTTAAGATACGCGGACAGAAGTGGGGGAAAAAATGTGGTTTGTCCTCTTATGAGTATAGTATCGAAGTGTAGAAAAGCCAGTGCGATTCTGGTTAAGCAAATGTGTGAAACCCTGTTGTGTTTCATTCTCTGAGGGCAGTTAAGCTTGTGCCTACAACCCATGTTATTGGTACTGTCTCACTTGAGATGGTTTTCCCTACAAATACCATTATTGTATTGCATCTCTCTGGCATATGTGCGTTTGCAGCA